TGGTCAAGTAGCCCATCTGGGAGGGGGGGAATCCTTATAATTAGATCTTACTGATGATCCCTTTGTGGGAACTTTGTCACCCATTCATATGAGCTTGAGAAGAGACGACCAAAACAAAGGAGTTCTTGGCAATGCTTCTAAGATGTGTTGAGCAGGGTTTGCCTGCTTGTTTGTAAGGCGCGAGTGGGAAAGAGTACAATTGAATTCGAGAAACAGTAGTTGGGGCAAGCAGAAAACAAATCAAGATTTCTCGTATGTGGGTTTCTCCATCTTCTGTTCAGCCTCTTGTCTGGCCCAAGTTTGAATGCTAGCGAGGAGGGGGGTTACAGATGTGCGATACCGAGAAGAAGAAAAGAAACACAGCGTCGGTGGAGAGAACGTAAAAAGAAAAAAGAAAGGGTCAAAAAAAAAAGGGGGAGAGAGAGAGATGGAAAGAACTTAACGATCGATCAGGCTTGTAGATTTGCATCATGATTCCAACAAAGGTGGTGCCCCAAAAGCCGATATACCAGATCATTTCCCAGTCCTCGCGGACCCGTTTCTGGCCAGGTTTCAAGGGCTTTTCCCCGAATAGCCAGCCGGAAGGTTGGTCTGAGAAAGCCAAAAAGAGATGAGCATCATGGATGCAAGTGTGGCAGGATTTATGAGCCGATAAATATTCCAAGCCTTCCACTTTTTTTCAACTCCTGAGAGAACTGTGGATTACTTAACTGAAATGAGGGCCGCCGGAGCCGAACCTGACCGACGACGGCAGCGACCCCTTGCTAGGGTGTTGAAGCAACGAGGATGGGAAATGGTTGAGGGCCCGTTTGAGTGAGGATGATGAGTTTGAGAGAGTCTTTAAGCCTTGGGGGATCCGATAAGAAGCCATGGATATACTGTCGTCGGCGTTGGGGGTTCGTTCGGTGGTGGAGTGCGTAGAAGGCGATCGAGTTCACACAAGCCCTAGGGTGGGTGGTCACTCCTTCGGATGGGGGGCTTGGTTGCGGGAGGCCCTCTCCGATGCCCGCAGCAAGCTGTGTGATCCCCGCTGAAGAAAATACCCCGGCACCCCCCTCCGCACCGGGGCCTTATGTCTTGAGACTGCTCCTAATTAGTATACTTTTCACGGAAAAGGAAGCCAGAATGATAGAAAATTCCTGGATGGAAATGGTGACCATCATTATGAGGCTGAATAGGTTGACAGCACTGTCAGCAGACCTAACTTATTTGATGCCATATTACTTAATCTAAACTGCAATTCAACCAGCAAGTTGAGGTTTGTATAGGTATATTATATGATTTGATTTGAGCCCAAAGGTACCTGTACTAGCTTCTACAAACTTGGTTAAAATTGGAAGACTCCCCTTCGCATCTGTGACCCCCTACAGAGTCAGATTGAGCTTTTTTTAGAATTCTAATTTTACAATTCCATCACTTATTATGTACTAAATTTGACCAAGGCTTCTTTGTAGCACGCCTTTCTTTTCTTTTCTTTTTTCCACGATCCACTCACACATGCAGAAATGGATTGGTCTCTGACTGGAAGCTTCCTCAATCATTCACGACACCAGCAAAATGAAGACAACATGGCCATCATTGCTCCGGTTCTCTTAGGCAAATCCACCCCCAATTACCTGATCTGACCTGCCTGGCAGGTCACCCTTGAGTGGATAATGCTTGGACTCACATACAATCTGTCAGGAATGACCAAGCTTTCATTACCTTATTGGGGAGGATGTACCCACATTCAAATCCCTTCTTGTCAAGTCGTAGCTCAACGTGATCATGACTTATTTCCGTCAAGAGTGCTTCACTTGTTTCCCCGATACTACATCGGGTAAAGCGGTGTTTCCAGGTCCCTCTTCAAAAGTAGTTAGAGAGGAAAGTGTTGAGACGTCTTACTAGTTCAACATGACTCGTGAGTACCACACAGAATCCTGCTTATTGAAACAACGCTCGCCCTCAAGTTGGTTACAGCTGGCCAAGGATAAGTTTTTTTTTTTTTGTAGCAGTACCATTTTCAGTTCAGCCACGATAAAGAAATAAGGATAATAAGGACAAATTCTGCGTGCCCCTATTTTCTTCAAGGGCAAGCGTGGCTAATAAAACAATTGGGAAGATTAACAAAAATGGGGGATTTAATATGAGGGTCAAGGGAAAAGGAAGTGTGACGACAAAGAACAAAGATCTGGGGAGAAATACTTGTATGACATGTGATTATGTTCCTATTATCCTTGATTCCGATGTTATTACGAGTCCGATGATTGATTGAGGATAAAAGACGTTTCAGAGGGCCAGGAGGAAACAAACAAAATAAAATATACCCAGACAGCATGCTTGACGGATGGGAGGATTAAGGATCGCAAAGCAAAAGATGAAAATGAGGTTTGATGCGTGGGGTTGAAGGATGGATAAAATCGAACGAGAGCAAAGACTGCTCCAATGATCAGTGGATGTTCCGGCTGACGTTTTGTGTGCTATTGAGAACATAGTGCCGGGGGGATGATGGGGGTTAGAAGCGCATATAAGGCGAAAATAGGTGGAACACTAGTCCTTGGGCTTATTTTTTTTTTCTTGTATGTTTGTTTCGATTTAGTGAACCAAACGCTCTAAACGACGTTTGATCTTCTGTTCCTTATGCACCCCTAAATGTAATAGACGATAAAGAGAGCAGGGTTACGTGAGAATTTAGTGAAAGAAAAAGGACGACGAGTGATTGAAAGACTGACGCCCAGATAACCGAAGGAGGCGAAGAGTAACAGTCCATCGATTGCCCATAAAAGCCAGATGGCATTGCCGTAGTTGGCGCTCATGCCAATGCTGTTCTGGCGGAGTTGGTGCTTGAGAATGCCGGCGATAGCAGTCCAGATGACGGTGCCGATGGTGTTGCTAATGAAAGCCAGAAGGCTGATGAGCGAGAGATTCAAGGAGCCTAGCCTGCCTGGTCCGCGGGCTTGGATGAGCGAGAAGAGTAGGATGAGTCCGACCAGACAGGCAGCGATGAAGATGAAGTAGAAGGCGATCCGGCTCCAGACGCCAAAATAGGTGTCGGAGTTGTACTGATTGATGAGCAAACCGGCAGCTCGATCCCTAAAAGAGTTCGGCACATCCTCCAATAGAGCCTCCGTCGGCCTGAAGCGGTGAGCCCACGAATTCTTGGTACAGTATTGAGGGTGCGAACGGTCTGAGTAGCCGGCACATTTGTCTAATAACAATTGCAGGTGAATGACATTAGATTGAGGGAGGGCAATGTAGTTATGTGGAGAACCTACTCCAAAGACCCCAAGTATAAAAGAGTCGAAGACCGTCCCCGATGCTGCGCTCGTTACTCGGCGCATTCGGGTTGCCGTAAACCGGGCCGGGGTTACGACCTTGGGCTCCGGCGTTGGAGAGGAGTAGGCCCAAGCCTTGGGTGCTAAGGTCGACGAGCCTTATATGACGAGGGACGAGCTAATGTGTGCGAGTGATGACAAAATCAGTATACTAGTGCTTCTGAAGGGTTAAAAAGGTTTCGATCGATCGACCCATCAAGGCTTAAGGGGGAACACCGACCTGGTGGACGGTAAAGTTTGCGATGCCGACAAAGATAAAGAGGATGGCAGCCGCGAAGGCTAGACCACCGCCAGCTGAAGCAATGGGATTGGTCATGAGGATGATTTGGGGATGATCGATAGGCTGTGCTGAAGTTTTGTCAAAAGAGAAGTTGCTGTTTGGCCGTCTGGCTCGACTCAAGCTGTGTGATGCTTTTTGGGTTTTTTGGTTTTAAGAAAAGATACAACTGTTTGTGGAGGAGGAGAGATGTGGATGGATGGTAATCGGAGGATGCTACCCAAACAGCGTCGGACAGTCAAGGATGATGAAGTGAGTAGTAGATGATCGGAAGGTGCTTGTAAGAGCGAGGAAAGGGGAGTGGAAGGATTATATAAACAAACAAAAGAAAGATGTATTAATTGAATGGTCAACAGCTCGGAATAGGGAAGAGCAAGTAGGGGGTTGCCCAGGGGCAAAGACAATTGGGGAGCGTCGGGGTGTTGACTGCCCGCAAAAGGGATTTCTTTTAAGTCTGGAGTCACGAGAATGCGAAAGATGGTTGTTGGAGGAAAGAGTGGTGGGTTTGTTTGGTGTTTGGTCCTTGGCTTTCGATAGCTGTCCCCTTCTTGTTTCTCAAGGGTCGATGGTGGGCGGTGATGAGCTTGGCTGGCAGATGGCAGGACTCTTTTATTTATAATTTCTTGATGAAGATCAACGAACTGAACTATTCAGCAGCAACTTTGGGCCTCGGGCGCTGAAGCTCGCTGAGTTTCGAGAGGAAAGGTGTATGGAGCGAAATGACTGGATGTATGCTACATGCATACCCCTCCGTCTCAAGTCAAACCATTCTGCCACCCGGTTTGTCCAGTTCACAGCGTCACCCGCTTTTCTATTTAAGGGCATTTCTCCACCCAAAGACTTCTTCCCAGTGTCCGGAGTAATCCAAGAATGCCCTGTAGATTTGAACCCTTTCCCCGACAGCGACCATAGAACATCATCCATACAAGTTCTGTGAACTACATAAACTCAAGAATTTCTTATGTTTGACTTTTCCAGCTTGAGCTGAACCATACAAAGAACCCCGTGCGCTTTCCTTATCCATCCTTGGGGATCATTAATCATCGTACCGACCTCAAAACGCTTCCGAAAGCATACCCAATTAGAAAATACTTTTGACACAATATACCGCACCCTTGACCAAAGATGAACTTCTCGACGTCGGGACACATGCCACTCCAGTGGGTCACAAGTTCCATATCTGTGGTATATGTAACCTCTGAAGAATCCACTTCATGTGTTGATTGAAAACCACTTTTGTCCAAGCTAAGGACAAGTTTCAGATCCCCTCGTCACACCGGTCATTTCTGGAGGACCACCTAGCTCAAAACGCAGCACGAATTCGCCGCCGCTCAATTCTCTGCCCCACCAAATAAACAAAAGGAAAGCAAAACAAAATTCATATATTTATCTCGACATCTTGTCGACATGACAATTTGGCCGAGTGGTTAAGGCGATTGACTCGAATCATTAGACTCGTGATCAATTGGGATTTCCCGCGCAGGTTCAAATCCTGCAGTTGTCGAGATGATCATGATGGTCAAGCTAAATATTTTTGTGTCCTTAAAGGCGGATTTTGTCCCCTCACGCTTGATTGCGTGGTTAGGCCACAAGAGAATCTGTGACCAAGAGTTGCCTGCTTTTGAATACCGCTGTCATTCCGACCCAGAACACGTAAGCCCTTTTACACTGCCCTTCACATGCCCTCGACAACTTCCTCAGGGGGTGCTTTCAATGATTTTTCTTTGGGAGGTTTTCATCAAAAAAACAGAAAAATAACACAGAAAAAAAGAAAGAAAAAAAAAAAAAAAACTCTAAAAATTTCCAACTTTTTTCTGTGGCAGATGCCAGCCAAGACTTGGGGGTAATATATTGAGATTCAGGACAGTAAAACAAGCCCAGTGATGTGAAGCCTGTGGGTGCATTATCTACCCAAACATTCCTTCTGTGAGTTTTTTTTTTTTTTCAGGCAGGGTGTATAGTCAAGTGCACATGATGTACACTGTACTTGGGAGATGACTAGCTGGTCATATGTGAGACATTCAACTGGCAAGAAGCTTGTCGAAAACACTATGAAAAAGAGAGTGATCTCTTCATGTCTTACTGATGCTTGTGTTGGGGCCCTAGTTTCTTTGTTGAAGGCTTGCAATCCCACACACACACACACACACACACACATTGGTTACATACTACTTCACTTTGTAATTTTTTATTTTATTTCTTGTTTTTGATGCAGGATCAATCTCCATGTTCCGTTTCTGCTTTTAGTAGATAGAAATCAGAAATCAAGTAGTCATATTTTTTTCTGTTGCCTTGTTCTTTCTTGGGCCCTCGACCAGAACGCTACCCCCTGCTTTACTCTGTCTCTTTCCCTTGATGGTCTAGATCCCTAGGAGGTCAAGACACATTACTCGCCAGAACAGGTGCACCCCTGATGGCCCCAGTCGTCAGCCAAAAGCCAAAGACTCAGATTGTGTGTTAATTCACCAACCATCAGCTTGTTGAGCACCGACACTCAATATCACCAGTCATGAATGACCAGTGCTGGAGGGAAAGTCAAGTTGAAAAGAAGATCGGGAATCATTTCTGCGCACAGCTAATGAGAGCCCTCATACCCATTGTCAAGTTTAATTCAAAGCGGCCGATCATACATGTTCACAAGATTTAAGCACGCAAAGTACTGTTTGACATGGGGGTGATAATAGCCACCGTAAGGTGTTAGCAAAACGCCGTTCAAGGATGACTGGTTAGGACGGGTGCTGAGGTTGACTAGTCCAATCGGGGATAGACATCATTCCTTCGTTGGTCGAGGATGGGCATGGATCTCCTGAGGAGCTCGAGAGATTTGAGATCGATGTCAGCGAGGGCGAAGTTGGTACTCCATTCGTGATCTTGGTCGGCTGAGGGGGGTGGCATGGAAGGCACGACGTCTGGCACCTGTGCAATCACAGTACCCCAAGGATCCACTATCATCGCATGGCCCCACGATTGTCGTATTGGCTTCTCCATGTGCGTTCCTACTTGCGCCGCCGCAATCACATAGCACTGTTCATCGAATTAACAATTCTTTTATCAGGTCATGCCTTACAATCGGGTTCTTCTTTATCTGGGGAAGTTCCCTTACTTGGGTTTCAATCGCCCGGGCTCGTAATAATGTTTCCCAATGCGATCCACCAGTTCGCATAGTGAATGCAGACTTTTTTTTCGACAGAGGAAAATAGAACCTCAGTTTTACCATTTTGATAATGTGAGCTTGAATTGGAAAGACTCATTATATATAAATGACCAACCGGATAGCTCAAGATGTTTGCACCTCTGTGTCGATGAATGATAGCTACTTCCGGAAACCTAGAGACACGGGTATTTCGCGAAAACTTTCAGCATTCAGTTTCGTATTTTTAAAGGCGAAAACGAAGGACAGAAAATATGGAACAGTTGAATATTGACTATTTATTATTGGAATAAGATGTTGATGAGATCAGGTATGTGGTGTTATATTTGTGCTTCCCAGTCACGGACCTTAGATCATAACATATCAATTGTCCCACTTTTATTTTATTTTTTGAGAGAGAGAGATTGGGGTGGTGTAAGTGACACCTCTTTCCCAGATTAAGGAATGTGCTTCTGTGATCTTCGCCAAATGAGCAAATTCTAACCATGACCTATCGGAGTTGGCAGAGGTTTTTCGATCGCTTTTCCAGGTATAATGTATCTAGACTCGTTTGCTGAAGTATTATTTCCCAAGTCCTAAGAAGACGGCGGTTTTAAATTCAGGAAGATCCTTATGCTCACAGTGATAAAACAATGCGGAAGACTGACCATGTCAAACAGATGAAGTTTTCGGTAGATTTGGTGGATGACTCCGTCGTTTGAAATAACCAAGCTTGTATTGTGACATCTGTTTGGATCTTCCGTACTCTGAACCAGTAGGTCGAAAAGTTCATGAATTGATCGAGCGTGTTCGCTAAGAGCAATTAGCTACTTGATTTCCTTTCGAGGTTGATGCGCTGAGTATGTACCTTCTCATGGACTCCGACGGAAACCCAGCAATCGTTCTCTAGAGCCGAGGATTGGATGGCATGAACAAATTGACTTTCTTTTAAAGATTGAGCCAACGATGGCGATTGAGAGGCAGGTGCAATAAAGTCTGATGCTTCTGGCAAGAAGACCATCTGCAGCAGATCATAAATGGTCAGCGTCTCATTGTGGTTACTGAAATGCCAGCAAAAAAGAAAAAGAAAAGAAAAGAACATAATGCCTCTCACCACCCACTTTAGCTCCAAGCTTGGCAGACCTTCTGATGATGGACTGGCATCGTATGAGGTTCTCGATCACGTTTCCCCGACTGTCTCCAGGTACGTGCCGCGAGTGATCATTTTGGAACCGATTGAAAGAAGTATACAGATGAGCACATGAAGCGAGTTGTCAGGCTTTTAATTCGTATTTACGCCATGGTTATACTTGAATGATTGAGGACGTTACCTGCAGAGCTGGCCGACGGCGCACAACACCATGCTGTTCTGCCCGTGATGGCTGTTGACTGTGGGATGGCGCGGTTATTTTCTTCCGGATTTTCATGAATTGGACGTGTCAGCGGAGATCCGAGTTGGCGGCCGAAAGAAATCCGGACGACCTCACACGCGAGAAGATCGGATACAGGATGGGTATGGATATACACCGAGTCTTTCCGCGTGAGAGAATGGTGTAGTATGTGTTTAGCCATATGTACCGCAGCTGCACAGCGTCGATCGATTCTCACTTCCCACTCACTTGCCTCTGAAACCCCGCTGAGTCGCGTGCCCCTTGATTTTAATATTTATGCTTGCTGCTGCTTAGCGACAGACTGGACTGGTTGGACGGACAACCACGACCTCTTGAGTTACCCTAGTTGGGTCTCTTGGCATACATACCCCTGCCTCAGTCGATGACCCTCATCGCCATCAAAGATACTAATTTACACCATGTCTAACAGTCATGTTGCGGCGTTCACCTTGTACCCAAAGACCTTCTTGTTCTCGCTCTTCGTCGCAGTCTTCAGCCATCGTCGTCGCTCCCTGCAGCTCTCCGGCGCGCTGACCGCCAATCTCATCGGCTACTTGACCCTCGCCAGCCACAACCCAGTCTTCGGCATAGCCCTTTTCTCCTTCTTCACCCTCGGCACGCTCGCCACCAAGTATAAGCAAAACATCAAAGCACGTCTGGTGGATGAATCCGACCAGGAAACCCCAACCATTGATGATGGTCCCATTACCAACAAGCAGAAATCTGTCGCTCAAAAATCCCATCCAGGTAGGAACTGGAAACAAGTCCTGTGTAATTCCTGGTTTGGTACATTATGCGCACTCTTCTATTGCTTTCTCGATACCGAATCAAGGCTGTCGTCCAGTGAAAAACTAGGCTTTATTAATTCGCTCCAGGAGGCGCCTCATGGGTCAGACTCACTTCCCAGAGCATTGGTTTCTGCTGCTCTTGCATATTGGGCTGGTTGTGCAGGTGACACGGTCAGCAGAGGGCTCTATATAATCATCATCATCAAGGAGTGCAGTGATTGTTGACTTGAAGCCACTGCTTGCTTCAATGCTAATACATCAATATTTATGTTATCACGATCGGCGCCAAACCCGTGTATTACGCCGTCCTCACTATGGACTGAAAAAAAAAAAAAAGTTTGCAAGCGAAGTAAGTCTAGTCTGCTCTACTTTAGGTTATCCATGAAATTGGGTACGTTTCCGATAGATAAGGGCAGCGCCTTATAGATCTACCCAAAAGAAGTGTTGGGATCGGAAGCGGCGAGAAAGTGGTATCACTATCCCTCCAAAAACCTCTTCTCCAACGAAATAACAACATTTCGCTTGATGAGTCCTGGTCAATTGAGATGCTACATATCATTCTTATCTGGTGTCTATTATTTATCCGCAGCTCGGGATTCTTTCTCGATCCAAACCGAGGTTGATTACCACTTTGAAAGAGGTGGGTCAATAATTCATCTTGTTGTTCCAGCTTTCACGGTCAACTCGCCTTCCTTTCAAGCCTACTTGTCCGCAAGGATGTAGCGAGAGGGAATATTTTTTTTTCCTTACAATCCGTCTTGTGCTTATGCATCTCGATGATCGTTCGGCAGGTTCCACCCGGGACCAATGGAGCAGTGAGCCTTCTGGGGCTAGTCTTTTCGACCCTAGCGGGTCTGGTGGTCGGAGCCACTAGCTCTTTCGTCGGCGAGTTGCATCAGCCGAAAGGATACATTATCCTGAGTTGCGGTTTCTATGGCTTGTTCTGCTCCGCCGTAGGTCGAGAGATTCCCTGATGAAATGATCTAACATAAGAGATTGTCGCCCAACTGACCGATCCTTCCCACGCCGGTCTCATCATTCGGAACTCAGCTCGACTCGGTGTTGGGCGCAACCTTGCAACAGACTGTTTACTCCAAGAGCGAGAAGCGTGTCATCGCCAAGTCCAAAATCGCCTTGGGTGGTCGTCGTGAAATCGTGGTAGTTTGCGGTCAGGATGTACTGACCAACAATCAAG